CTGCTCTAGCTTCAGCGAATGATGATGAGACCTTCAGGTCATTCCAGCATTCAGCGATCAAAGGAAGCTTGCTTAGCACGATTGTTATTGTCTTGTCCTTTTACACACAAAGGACAAACCCATACCCTTACTAAAGTTAGTACGGTACAGAGCCGATTAGTCGACTCTTTGTCCACCAACTTTAGGCAAGGATGTCTGCTCAAGAATAGTGCTTTTGTACTATTCACTGTAGCAAAGGACAAGTCTTCCTCTTAAGGCTTGACACGCACTCTAAACCTACGATATTGCATTAAATGTTCATTTAATGCACTGAGTATAAATAGAAGTGTTTATTCTCCATGCAGAGTGCGCGCATCTCTCTGCTATCCTCTTCTTACTTCAATCATCTTCTAGCTTAAGTAAAAGATCTTCCTTTTAGCAATCTCTTTTCTTATATTTGTTAAAGATCTGTGTGTAACCAAAGATTATTTAGATAGGTTTTCTTTACCTTATCTTTCCGCAAACAGTCTTGTAAAATCTGTATTGATCTTCTCTATCAATATATATTTTAAATTTGAAAATACTGTGTTTGTATTCATCCCCCCCTTCTACAAACTGTTTCTATTCTTGTAGACCCTTACGAGACCAACATCTTTATTACAACAATGTACTTTCAAATTATTTTTTATTAAGGCACCACACTTTAAAAAATCTATCCATTATAGCAATGGGTAACCTGTTACCTTTTAAACCGGTTAACCCCTTGACTTTTTTTTGCTTGTGTGGCTTTAATGAGGTGATATGGATGACACACCATTTGGATGACTTAACTAAAATAAAAATAAAAACCTATTTCAAATTATTATTAGTGATTTTCATTTTTCATTGCTATGATTTAAAAAAAAATTTAATTTTTTTGACTTTTTCTTATTAAGTTGCATCCAAATTAAATATTTTAGAGTAAAATATTTCTTAAATAAAATATGATACATTATTTTCGAGATATATTTTGTTTGTAAAAAAATACCACTTCTTATTTTATGTTGTTCAAAAAAATACATATCTTTTAAAGTTCTTTCCAAAATGTTAACGAAATAAATTGTGATCTACAATTTTTTTAATATTGTTATATTAATAAATAATTCAAAAAATCTAATTGATTTTTGAACAAATATAATATATTCTTTAAAAGATAATATTTTTTTTGGTAAAAAAATAACAATTCTTATTTATTTATTTTTTTCAAAAAACACATTTTTCAAAAAATATTTGCGAGATAAGTTGTCTTCTGCTAGTATTATTAATATTGATATATTAATGAATAATTTAGAATTTTTTAATTCATTTAATATATTTATTAAATAACATGTAAAATATCTAAATATTAAAATTAAAAGTATATTATTTAATAAGAACTAACTGATATTATAATAAAATAATTTTAAAAGTATAATGCTGTAATAAGAAAATCATATCATTATAGTACACATAGATAATAAGATGACATGGAAACCTGGTATAATGGATAAATTTAAATCAAAAGATTACCCAATGCTATAATGGGTAAATTTTTTAAAGTATAATATCCTAATAAAAAATAGTTTGAAAGTAAATTGCAGTAATAAAAAAAACTGAAAGTATAATATTATAATACAAAAATTTATAGTGTTTTGTGATTTTGTCCCAAATAGATATCCATATAGATGCTAATAAGATTCGTAGTGCAAGTGAATATGGTTGAGGAAAGCAACAAGTGTCATGTTTGGTAGTATACAAAAAGTTAGGTAGCGGATGGAAGAATCAAGTTTCAACTTGATTTTACCAAAACAAACCCAAAAGGAGACCAAAACCAAAACATGGAAGAATCAAATGTCTGATTTGGATTGTTTCCTGTTCGAGTAAGTAAACCCTAATTCACTACCTCCTCCTTAGACGATGCTTAAACTTCTGATTTCCCCTTCTTCCTTTGGTATCCTCCTCCTGCTGTTTATTCCGGTTTTCCTCCTTTCCTCAATTCAAATCGTTTACGGGGATGAAGACTACGAGGCGCAGCTTCTAACCTCAGCTAAACATGACACAGATTGGTTGATTTCAATCAGAAGGAAAATCCATGAGAACCCTGAACTCCGTTTCCAAGAGCACAACACCAGTGCTCTTATTCGCAATCAACTCCAGAAACTTGGAATTTCTTACACATACCCACTTGCCCGCACTGGTTTTGTAGCTCAAATTGGCACTGGCTCCCCTCCTATTGTAGCTCTTCGTGCTGACATGGATGCACTCCCTTTGCAGGTCTGTTTCCCACCCTTAATCAGACATCACCTGCTAATCTTCAACTTCAAAGGGATTTACGTTATCTAAAATTTTCGATACTAAGCTAATCTTTATAACAAATACGACAAACTGAATTGAATTTAGTATTAATGAAAATATAGGAACTGGTTGAATGGGAGCATAAAAGCAAAAGGGATGGTGTAATGCATGGATGTGGGCATGATGCTCACACGACCATGCTCCTTGGTGCTGCTAAGTTACTTAATCAGAGAAAGGACCATCTCAAGGTATGTCTGCGTTTAAGGATCAAATCACCTTCTGACAGGATTCTTTAAACCCATGACCTTCTGACCGCTTAACAAAAGAATGCCACTTCCATATACAAGAATGCTTGTCAGGAGGCCGTATAGCTAAATAACCCCTGTATTTAACAAAGTCTTATGCTTAAGTAAAGAAACCAAACTTCATTTAGTAATAAAAGGAATCTAATTGTTGGAAAACCTGAGCAAAATAAGGTACTACTTATTATTGCTTATCTCAACATGTTCAATTCAAAAGATTCCATGTATTAATGATTCCTTTAACAATGATGCACTTTGAGGTGGTTTACAGTTCCTGCTAGCATGAAAAAACCTCATTTTGGTCAATTGATGTTTGGCTAGAGAGAACGTTGTTAGCATATTTCGTTTTAACCACATTGTTATGCCCCTAAAATAAAATAACTCTTTGACTGTAAAATGGTTTTATATGAATATGGTGTTAAGGGAACTGTTCGACTGATTTTCCAACCGGCTGAGGAGGGAGGTGCCGGTGCATCAGTTATGATAGAGGAAGGTGCTCTTGGTGGTGCTGAGGCTATATTTGGAATGCATGTTCATAGTTCACTTCCCACCGGAAGCATTGCCACTCTTTCAGGACCTATGATGGCTGCTACATGCTTCTTTGCAGCTAGAATAGAAGGTAAAGGCGGTCATGCTGCTGAACCTCACAACAGTGTGGATCCTGTACTTGCTGCATCATCTACTGTTTTGGCCTTGCAACAACTGATCTCCAGAGAATTAGATCCCCTCCAAAGTCAAGTATGTGCTATCATCATTTCTTTTTTTTCACAACTAAAATGATTGTGATTACACAAAAATGGATGAAGCTGAATCTTGAAAATTGAAATTGTAATTTCCAAGGGGAAAAATGTTTGCGTTAGTAAATAACTTTTTTTTCTCAATCAATGTACAAAGTTTTTCCCTATATTTTATTACCCATTTCGACCGTTTACCGGTTGATTTTATAACATTTGATAACATGGATGTCAAGTTTATCTTCCACTTTGCTATAACCCTTTCGTAAACAATGCATAATCCGTTCGTGAATGGGTATTCCAGTCATCAAATGTTCAAAATCAACAAGTTACCGGTCAAAATAGGTTATTTTGAAACTTTGTTACATCGATTGACAAAAAAAATTCTTTGTTACACCAAATATTAACTAAACCAAAGTTTGTTGCATTTTTTCTTCATCAGAGTAATATAATAGCAGAAAAATGCTAAAAGTTGGCTAGAAAGAGTTCCTTGTGTGCTTGTACAAAACCATATAAACATACCACTTTAATGTTCCAGCGTCATATATGTTTCTTTTTCTTATGGCAAAAGCATGAGAATATTTTTACTAAATACAATTATAAGTGTGTTTTTGTCCTCTTAAAATTTGATTGTTCTACTTCTTTTGTTATATTGGTAAACTGATCTGATTTATCTTGTGTTTGGTGGTCTTCATTGATGATAGCATATATCCGTTGGGCCAGAGGTCAGGTGTGCCTACGTGCCACCCCCTAGATGCTGCAGCATCATTTGGTTTGGTTTATTGATAATAGCATGTGGTACCTCTAATTTTATCCATAAATAAGATGGGTAGTTAGGGCATTGGTTGGGCGGTTTGAGGCATTTAAACAACCCAACCTAATTACGGCGATTTGAAAACCCCCAAACCCAACCCGTTACAAGGTGTAACCATCATTGCTATAAATAAGTATGTGTCTTCGATTTTAGTGACGTTTGCCCGTCGCTTGATTTAATCCTTTACATATAACAAACTGCCAGATAGGTAATATTCAATTATGATACACAAACATATACAACAAACAAACAAATTGTGTTGCAAAGATAAAATATATTTACATAGGGTCAGGTTCAGGGGAAAACCGCAAAAAAGTAAAAAACTGAGGAACACTTTGGTAAAGTTCATATAAAAACCAAAAAACAACTTCAGTTACTTTTATGCACATGTGCATACTGTTTTGATAAATGGTTACCAAGGTCTTTCTCAGTTTTTTATTTTTTTTGGGTTTTCCCCTGAACCTCCCTCTCTCTCTCTATATATATATATATGTACATATTTATATAATTATATATTGTTTAGTTTCACACATTTATATGCATAACTTAATCCAATTCTTTTGTTGCTATTAAGTTTACGTCAGATAGCAACATTAAATGGAGAACGAGAATTAAGCAAAAATATGGAGAACATTGGTGCTCCAAAGATGACCAAAAACAAGAATGGCTCAGACTATGTAAATATAAATAAATTTTTATCAAATTCTATATTAGTGGCGGGTTGGGTTGTGTTAGATCTAATCCCATTTCAACCCTATTAATTTGCGGTTTAATGGGTTGGCGGGTTGGGTTGTGAGCGGATTGGGTTGGGTGAGTTGAGCAGGTTGGCGGTTTTTTGTACAGCCCAATGGGTAGTTACTTTCACCAACAAAGTGGAAACATAAGTAGATGGTAAACAGAATAAAGCACACTTAGCAGTCTGTCTGCTAAAGTAGACGTAGGTGATGATATAGTATTTAAATCATATTGTGGTCATTCAATTATGAATTAATAATTATCCCCTACTCACTAATTGGATGCTAGATTATATACACATAAGAAATTGAAACATGTATAAAGCAAACACAATTATCATAATGATATGATTAATATATGTATTCCTAATGTTCCATGAAAAGTAAAAGAGAATAAAATAAAAATGGTCGTTGTATGTGAAAGTAGTTATGATTCTGGATATCAATCTTATATGGAAAATTTTACTTGGATTTGGGTACAGGTGCTATCAGTTACTTATGTTAGGGCTGGTGAAGCATTAAACGTTATTCCGTCATATGTTGAACTACGGGGAACGCTCAGGAGTCTTACGACTGAAGGCTTGCAACATCTTCAGCGAAGGGTAAAGGAGGTATTTTCTACTCAAAATTTCACGTTTTGATTATTTCTTTCTTACCTTCCGTAAGACCTCGCATCCAAAAATTTTACTGGGTAGGGTATCATTTATAAATATGATCTACACTCTTTGACTTTGTAACAGCTTCTTCAAGGGATATAAAGGTTAGTCTTTCTCAAACTTAAAATAGATGTTATGCTGATATATCTATAATTCCGAAAAGCAAGGATCAAACTAAACTTTGATCGCAAAAGTTTCAACCCTCGTATACATTAGATAATTGAATGATTTGAATTTTTTGATAAAAGATATATATAACCTGAAGATATGCAAATAATGCATGATTTTGTACTAGTCTTATTGTAAACCGTATCTCAAACTAATATGGCAGTAATCATGATGAGAGATCGATAACTTCTGTTTGGCATCTTCCTGCAGTTTTATGTTGTAACCTCCAATTAGAACTATTTATTATTATTGTTTTCGGAAGGAAATGAAAAGGAATCACCAACTGTCTTGAACGTCAAGGTCATTAAAGAAATGATAATAGGGGTATTCCCATGGCTAATTTGTTGGATCCTATGTTCAATTCTCGAGTCTCAAATGGTTGATCTATTTAGCTTGAATTTTATTTCAGATATCCTTGTAAACGACCGCTACCACAGGTTTGGAATCCTAGGGAAAACTTCAAATGAGATCCATAGATATATTGAGAACCTGGGAACCAATTATTTCATGTATCATTCATGATATAATAATCTGAATAATCATGAATACTATGCATTTTCATAATTCGCAATGTTATGCATTTTCATCATGAATATCTATCATGACATAATCATAAATAAGAACATGAATAATTGATTCCCCGGTTCTCATTTATGGTTCTAATTTAAACCTGTCCCTAGAATCCTATTGTAGTAATTATGACACCGGAGGACAATCATCAACTTGATCGCATGAAGTTCTAAGCTGATGCTTCTTAACGTATTAATGACACCACTATGGTTTCTATCAGGTCGTTGAAGGGCAGGCAGCTGTTCATAGATGTAAAGGTTCAGTTGATATGATGGAAAAGGAATTCCCGCCTTATCCGGCTACCATCAATGATGAGACCTTGAATAGGCATGTGAACAAGGTGGGTTCGCTATTGCTTGGTGCAGAGAGAGTTAAGGGGTCTAATCAAGTGATGGCTGGTGAGGACTTTGCTTTCTATCAGCAGAAGATCCCTGGAGTTATGTTTGGCATCGGAATACATAATGAGGATATTGGTTCAATTCACCCCCCACACTCTCCTTATTTCTTTCTTGATGAAGATGCTCTTCCCATTGGAGCAGCATTGCACACTGCTCTTGCAGAGTTATATCTCAATCAACACCAAACCTCTTCTACAGTGTAAATAATCTCAATTGTGAAATTGGCCAAAATGATCTCTTTCCAAAAACACTTTCCATTTTCTATGTAACAGTGATGTAAATGTATATACAGCTACTTTTTTCTTGAACAATTGAGGCTGCATCCAACATGTTCTTTCTCATTGCTTCTCCTTATGCCATCTTGGTCGAAGCTGACAATTTTTTGAATCCTATTTCAAAAAATTCGTTGAGGGTCTAAGGGTTCAAGTCTATCACCCCCCACCCCCCCAAAAAAAAAAAAAAAAAAAACCAAATGGGAGGCTGGACTCAGGTTGTCCCAAAAGAGGGCTAGACGAACACAAGTTGTCCCATAGTGTCGAGTCACTCGAGTAGTATACTGTGGCTTTAATACCATGTTAGAATATGTGGAGCTCTATTAAATTACTCTATAAAAAAGCATGAGATAGAAGAGAGGCTTCAACATATGTTAAAGGAGAAATGGTTAAAATCTAGAAGATGTGGAATCAAACACCCCTCTTCCAACAAAGGCTAGGTGATCACTTATTATCCCAGAGTGTCAAAATTTGAGGCTAGACGTGTATAGATTATCATAGTGTGTTGAAATCCTTAAAATGATAGATCTTGGCTTTGATACCATCTGACAATATTTAAAATCCTATTAGATTACTCTTCAAAAGAGCCCCTGAGGATAAAAAGGATGTCCCAATATATGTTGAGAAAAAATAGTTTAGGTTTAGCTGATGTAGGATTTCAATGGAAACATTGGCAGATGAGATTTGGCAGAGGTTGGGTGTTTGTTTTGTATTTTTCTTTAGGTCGTAAGGTTTAACTGTATGAAAATGCGGTGACTCCGAGCTACCCACAAAGCATCACCGGGGATTAGTCGGCTTTAGGTTAATAATAATAATAATAAAAAAAAAGAAGATATAGCTTTATGATGTTTGGTATATATATATCATGTTTTCTTTTCTTTATTATTCTTAATTCCTTATGGTAATTTTCTCAGTAAAAAAACAAGCCACCATAAACGTAGATCCGATTAACCTTAAAAGCTATACTTTCCAACTCCATATGCTTAAAGATCCCCAGTGGATGGGTGGTTGACGATTATGATTGCATACTAACAAAACAGAGCAATAATGCCCAGATTATGATTATGATTATGCTAATCTCAACCTCATGTTCCAATCTACTAGCCCCCACACCAATCTCTCAAAACCTTTTCAATTTGCATCATACAAAAGCATATTCTCTCTGTCACAACAAAGTATGTTGGTTGCGGTTAACAATCAACAAAACTCGCAAACAAATCAAAACATTTTGATATGATGGTTTCGTTAAATTATTACAACCGAAAGAAGGAACAAAATTTTGAATATTCTGAATTAGAATGACAATTTTGTATGTATGGATATATACCAGCACATGCTGACTCATGTCCACATGCATGTTTGATGTTTCTATCTTTGGTACTTGATCTGAACCCTTTTTAATGTAATTAAAGTTTTAGTTACCCTCCAAGACTAAGTTACAGAAACTGGTTAATGGTTATACAGATCCAAATGCATGTCTATGTGTACAACTATCATCCCCACGTAAGTGATCCCAAGTGGAGAACCCCATCCATCTCTCACCACTATTTTGGTGTCTAGATTCAATCAAAGTTGGTTATATGAACGAAGTGAGTTAAAAAACAAACAAAAACAAAAACAAAAGATGGTACGTTAGGTAACACCACATGATTAAAAACCCAAAAAGAAATCTTGAATAATGTGGCATGTGATACCAAGTTTCAAGTAAGCTCATCTTTACACGTAATCCCTTTATTCTTTTTTGCATATCCCGATATCAAAAGTTCTGCCTTTTGCTCGACTACTCCATACAAACACCAACCATTGGTTTTCATGGATTCGATTAGTTTCATCCTCATACATGTATATACATGCCAACCATTCTGTCATAAATTTTTCTCCAAAGTCTGTCGTTTTCAAGCCATATACATAAAGACCCTAACTCCTAAGTAACACAAAAGTCGATACATCCATGTGAGTTGGCAAATATATTTGGTTTCAAGAATGATATATAAATGGGACTTGTCCTCAAATACCCACCTCCCAAGATTATAATTTTATTGTATTTTTAACAATCTTAACTTTCGTTCTCTTTCTGTTAGGTTTATAAGGACTTGTACTGTCAAAGTTTGAAAGTTAAAGGGCTTAGAGACTGCGTCTCATTTTTTGGGATTCATGGGAGGGTAGCCGAGCATTTCTTCTTTTCTTCAGGGTGTCTTTTGTAAATATCTTGTAAATATAAATAGGTTTATTTTCTAAAAAATTCTCGCTTTTGTGGTTTTCATTTTGTAATCTCTCAAAAATTCTATCTTGTCTTCTTCTCAGTTTAGCTAGCTAGATCTTATATGTAATCTAGGGTTCACATTTTGTAACATGGTTTTGATAAATAAGTAGTAAAATCCTTTTGGTTATCATCTTGTACATGGTATCAGAGCCTTGAATGGTTCTGTTCTTGAAGAATCTCGTTGTGATTCTCTGTTCTTTGATCATCTGTTCATACAGAGATCGGTGGTGGTTTATTTTGCAAACTTATTGGTGAGTTTTTTCTGTTTTCCCTAGATCTATTTCTTTTTCTCTCTAATTGTGCTTAAACAAGTAAGGGCGCAACTAAGTTGGTTTGGTTCACGAGATCTACTAAGATCTCGATTCACCATCCTTATTGCTATTATACTTGTTCCTTTCAAAGGAAGTTTCTCTGGTTTGTTTTTGATCTGGCATTTGTGTAAGAAGTTCTTTTGAACGAACATATTGGGGTCTGTAATTGGCTATACGAGATCTAGTTGTCTCGTTTTTCTTGCCTCTGCCTGAGGTCTGTTTCTATTCATCTTCTGTGATCTTTCTTTTTAGATCTTGTGTTCTTCTTGTTTTTGTTGTTTTTATCCAAATTTGTGTCCTTTCAGATCTGTGTTTTTTTTCCTTTTCTTATATGTTCAGGTTTGGTCTTGGATCTGTATGTTCCTTGTTGGTGTACTATCTTTTAACCTAGTTAAAAATTTTCGTGTTAAGAGGACCTGGTTTATAGGTTCTTGTTCCCTTTTCTCTTCTATAAGTTTTTTCCTATTCTTATCTTTTGTTAATTTTCTTCTTGGGTGTTTCTGTTTGGCGACTGAATAGTTAGCTTGACCTAGCACATTACTGTGTTTCAGGAATCCTGCTTTTATCTATTCAGTTTCCTGCTTGTTTTCATACCTTCTCCTACTGTTGATACTGGTAGTTCAATGGAATCCAAAGTTACTAAACTGGATTTTGGAGATCCATTGTATCTACATCCCAGTGATACCAATGGAGCTCTTTTATTAACCTTCAAATTTAGTGGTACTGATAACTACAAGGTTTGGGCTTGTGTCTTGACCTTGGCCTTAGAAACCAAAAAGAAATTGGATTTATTGATAGATCTTGTCCCTGTCCAAAAAACGACCGTGTCTTAGAAAGACAATGGGATCAATGTAACTCAATTGTTCTTTCTTGGATTCTGAGTTCTATGACCGATGATCTCTTTTTAGGAAAAATGTTCTTTAAAGAGTCCTCACGTATGTGATGAATTAAAAGAGACTTATGATAAAGTTGATGGGTCTGTTATGTTTAATCTTCATCAGAAAATTAACTTTTTAATTCAAAACGGGATATCTGTTTCTAAGTATTATCACAAACTTAACTCCTTATGGAAACAATTTGATGCTCTAGTTAAACTTCCCTCATGTACTTGTAATGCTTCTCAGGACTTTTTTGAACATAGTCAACTTATCAAGCTTATGCAGTTCTTGATGGGGCTTGATGATGTATATCAACCCATTAAGAGCAATATTCTTACTAGGGATCCCTTTTCTTCTGTGAAAACTGCTTTCTCTCTTGTTTCAAGAGAAGAGGCTCACAGGGGGGAAAATTGTCTCAGCCACGCACTAAATCTCAAAATACTGCTTTTTTAAGTAAAACTGTTGACAATAAAAAGCGATTAGGCAGAGCCTCCACACTTGTTCGTAAGCACTGTGACATTACTAGATATACCATTGAAAGATGCTTTAAACTCACAGGATTTCTAAAAGATTTTCAAAATTGACCTAGACCACAAAATCAAAATTTTAAATCCTCAGCCAGTAATGCTTGTGTTTCTGAATTTCACTCGCCTAAAACGTCTGAGTCTAGTTCATCCTTTCCTTTTTCTGAGGAACAAATTGCTAAAATTCTTGAATTAATATAACAGAAACACACATCTAAAGGAGCAACTACTAATATGGTAGGTATGTTCAAATCTCTTAGATCAGGTTGGGTGATTGATTTTGGTGCAAATCAACACATGACTCATAACACTCTTTTTCTTGATAATGAGTTTGATGTATTTGATCTTAACCTTACGGTGAGTCACCTTAATGGAACAAAGGCAAGAATAAACAAAATTGGGAATTGTAAACTTTCTAGTAATGTAACCTTTTTGATGTGTTGGTTGTTCCAGATTTCAATGTTAACCTGCTATCTGTGCACAAACTTGCTAGGGATAACAAAGTTTTTGTAGGATTTGACGAGTCAAATCTTATGTTCAGGATTCTCTTCGAAAGAGTGTTATGGGGACTGGTAGTCAGGAAAGTGGTCTATATTACTTTAATGAAAGTTGTAACAGTGAGTGTTGATTCTCTCTCATTGATTTGATGATAATTCATTTTACCTATCGAAATATTGTATTTCTATTTGTTCAGTTTCAGTGATCATCACTAAGTCTGTTCAATGATCACTAAACACGTATTGTAACTCCTTGATAAACTTTTGTACTTCAAGAAGACAAAACTCACACCAAAGAACCTTCAACAATGTCGAAGATAGAAATTGAAGATTAGAGACTAGCGCATTCGTGATCTGAAGCAGCATTCAGTGATTACAAGCTCGTCTATATATGTGTGAAGACTGCACAAGTTTCAACGGATGCTGAAACGATCTCCAGCGTCATCCCAATCATTCAGGATCAAATGAAGATTACCATGCACAATCGTTTTTGTCTTGTCCTCCCACACATTAAGGACAAACCCGTACCTTTTCTAGAGTATGGTACAGTACGGAGCCACTCAGTTGACTCTATTGTGCTTACCTACTTTATGAA